TTCCAATTTTATATTTTGGGACAACAACAGCACAACTAGTTCGACCTGATTCAGGATCTTTAGATCCATCTGTAAAAACCTGTACGTACTCAGGATAATTCCCATCCACATAACAGTTGAATAAACTGCACAGTTCTGCTTTCTTGTTTCCTTTCCTAATTTGCAGCAATTCTGTGTCCACTTGAGGTTCTTTCATTAGCCAAAAAGGAACAGTTGACCAGATGACATTTGGACTAAACACAACTTCAGAAACACCCAATGATCTTGCAGATTCTTCTCCTACCCATCCAAAGCTTAATGTTTGTTTCCTATGTCTTTCCCATGACTCCTTTAGTACAGATTTAGTTGGATGACTATCATGGTGACCTGTAAGATGAATCCAATAATTAACCAGTAACTGTTTCCTTCGCAGACACAAAGGCATCTCCCCTGATTCAACTAAAATTGCACACACTGGTGAAGTTTTGACAGCTCCAATACATAATCTAAGTGCTTTAGCCTGGATGACCTCTAGACGCTTTAGAGACGATTCAGCTGCGGATCCATAATACATCCATAGTCTAGTCTGGACTTTATCAAGGATGTATAAATGTGTTTCAATGATAAGAAATCTGCTCCCCAAGTTACTCCCACCAGACACCTCATAACATTTAAAACCTTCTTACACTTATCAATATGAAGATTCCAAGTCAAATGAGAATCAAAATAAACACCTAAGAAACGAAAAACATGAACTATCTCTAAAGTTCTTCGATACAATTTCAAGTTAAATTCACCTCTATTCCTTTTCCTAGTAAATAACATTGCTTTGGTCTTATCAACTGAAAACCTAAATCCCCAATTTTTACTCCACAATTCAACTTGATTGATTCCTTCTTGAAGCTTGTGTGTAATGAACTTCAAATTCCACCCTCTTTTCCATAGTGCCCCATCATCAGCAAATAAAGATCTCCCTATATCTGGGGCTACAGACATATACACATCATTAATCATTATTGTGAGCGGCTGTTCTTTCCAAACTTTCCGATATTTCTCCCTCTGCTGCCTCCAGTCGCTTTTTGAGCCGTTGTCTCCACATCTCTGAGAGTTGTCCTCCATCAACATTTTCCTTAAGCAGCGGTTGAGTCCCGTTACAGTTCCGCCATCACGCCATGGCATATGGGTGTAGAGTTTTAAAAAAGCTGTGCTTCACACAGCTCGTCGTTACTTTTAACAGTTACTAATGCGCATGCGTAACTCGGGTACCACGTGTTCAAATATGGTCAGACCTATTTCCGGACAGCGTTCAACTGTATTTTATTTTTTATTTTTTGTCCAGCATTACGCATGCTATTTTTTTAAATACTTTGAATTACAAGTTAAATTATAAAATATTTATTCTGGTGTATTACATTGTCATAGCGACGTGTGATGTTGCCGGGTCCAAGAATGAGAGCTGAAACAGAGGTCGATATATATATATATACCATACCATACCATACCAATTTATTTATATTGCACTTTAAACAGTGACAAAGCACACCAAAGTGCTGTACAGGGACAAAACAGAACAAGCACACAGCAACAGATTACATAACAGGACACCAAAAAGTAGCAACCAACAAAAACAGTAATGGATAACAACAACAACCGCAACATGACCAACACAGTGTGATGCACACAGACTCAGCACAGATCACACAGTGCTGAAAGCCAGGGAATAAAAGTGTGTTTTTAAGCGAGATTTAAAAACTGTGAGGGAGGGGGCCTGTCTAACGAGCAGAGGTAACTCATTCCAAAGTCTTGGGCCTGCTACAGAGAAGGCCCTGTCACCTCTGCGCTTGAGACGGGTTCCTGGGACTGTTAGGAGCAACTGGTCTGCTGATCTGAGAGAACATGGTGGGTGTAGTGAACCTGATCTCATGTCAAATCTGACCAGATGGACAGAGAC